GGTGTCATTGAATCTTCTTCTTCCTCCCCGTCCTTCCTCTTCTTCTTTGTTGGCACTTCAACTCTTCCTCCACCTCTTCCTCCCCCTCCTTCCTTTTCTTCTTTGTTGGCACTCCAACTCTTCCTCCTCCTCCTCCTCCTCCTCCACTTCCTCCTCTTCTCCTTCTCACGTCTTCCTCCTCCTCGCATCCTCTTGCTTGCCCCTGGTGCGTGCCGTGTGGCACATGCCATGTTTTTTTTTTTTTTTTTTTCTTGACAACGACTCATCTTTTCTACCTTTCCTCCCCCTCCTTGTGTCCTTCTCCACCTTCGGCTCCTTCTCCTCCTCTCTTCCTCCTCTTCCATCTTTTCTACCTTTCCTCCTCCTCCTTGTGTCCTCCTCCACCTCCCGCTCCTTCTCCTCCTCTTCTTCCTCCTCCTCCTCCTCATCCTTCCTACTCCAGTTTTTTCTCTCCTTGTCCTTGCATCCTCCTCCTCCTCGCTGCCTCGTAGTCGTTCAGGCACGTGCAGTTCATTTTCTTTACTCAGCATCTTCTTTCTCCTTCCCTGATCCTCCTGTTCCTCGCCACCTCACATCCTTCTCCTCCTCGCCACCTCCACCTCCTCATCCGTGTCCTCCTCCTCTCGCTCCTCATTCTCTTTCACCACCTCCTCCTCCTCCTCCTCCTCCTCATCTTCCTCCTCGCGTCCTCCTCGCGTCCTCCTCGCGTCCTCCTACTGTGCTTGTCCCAGCGCGTATGTGGCATGCGCTATAGTTCTTTTTTCTTTTTCTCGTCATCTTTTTCTTGGTTCCCTACTCCTCTTCCTCGCCCTACGAAACACCCGCGGACGCGTCCGCGGGTCCGATCTTGGATGGCGGACGCAGATGGGGCCGCGTCCGCGGCCGACCTGGTCTGCGCCGCGGACCCGATTTTACAAGAATTTTCCTGAATTAAATAATAGGTAAATATATATATATATGGGGTTGTAGGGAATTTTACACCCTACAATCCCATAATTTTTTTTTTGGAAAAATGTGGTTTTTAGGAATTTTAAAAAATAAAAAACCGAAACGGTGCAAACAAAAAATAGAAAAAAAAGAAAAAAAAACATTTTTTTTTTCTTTCCATTTTTTGTTTGCAGTTGTTTGTGTTCTTCACTTTGTTGTGTTTTTTCTTTGTTATGAAGATGTGTTGTTTGTGAATAAAAAAACAAGGAATGGAAAAAAAAAAAAAAAAAAAAAAGGCCCTGCTGGTGAGGGACCACCACCAGCAGGCACCAACACATTTTGTGTTGCCGTTTCAGATAAAGATGGGTTTGCATCTGAGACAGCAACACAAACTGTGTTGGTGTTGCTGACAATTGCTGTTGCCATCAACAGTGTTGAGAGAGAGAGGGAGAGCGAGACTCGGAGAGAGAGCCACGTGGTGATCTGGTACGTGGCCATCTCCCCACGTGGCAATCCGCGGACAAGTCCACTGGGCCAGCACGCGGAGGGCATTCAAATACGACCGCAGACGAGGACGAAGCCGCAGGGCGTAGCGCGGAGGGCGGCCATTTCTGGTAAGTTTTTTTTTACATTTCTTTTTTTTATTTTTCTTCTTCCTTTTCTTCTTCTTCTTCTTCTTCTTCTTC